TCTTGAAGGCGCGGGTCAAAGGTGCGAGTACGAACAGGTCCTAGATGCATACTGTATGTACCTTAGAAAACCAATATCGACAGTGTGCACTGCATGTACCAAAAGTACCTATATGTGTACATCAATGCCCATTTGTTTCTTTTATTTCTTCCCATGTTGTGCCTATTTTTATACAATAAAGAATGAATAAGGAGCACATCCCATAAAAAGTATAGGGTGAAGAATACACATTTTTGATCCTGACCCTATAGTGTCCCTTTATTTGAAAAATGACTGTCTAGACACCATCACCACTACATACCAATGTAGCTGTTGTAATTATATTAGACTACGGGTGCTGTCCTCCTGTTATGGGCAAATGCAAATATTACAAGTTTTAGAATGAAATGTTGTATTTCTTAAACTGTGTACTTTGTCTTTAAGAGATATTGCAAACTGACAAGGTATTAGAAATGGAACATATTGTTTTTCATAGATGTTTCTTTAAGCAATAACCTCAGTGCATAATATGTTTGCGCCATTTTGTCCCAGACGAATTACAATAACAATAATGCATAAACAAGTTTCAAGGCTATGCTACGACTCTTGCAGTACACAATATACTGTGGTAACCCCAAGTTAATGGAACTTCCCCAAATCTGGGAATCTCCCACTACTGTACACTTACGACTTAGTATAAACAACAGATAACCTATTCAGACTTTAAGATGCCATCTTGAACTAAGTCAGGAAAATTTCCGTGACGTATACACCCTTTAGTTATGGCCTTGTATGTTTGCCAAATTAAGGGAGGTCCTAAATTGAATAAAGTAAAAGAAGTGTTACTTTTTCATATTTGAACTACAGTAACCTAAAATGGAGACACCTAAGGTATAAATAGGTGTACTTTTAAATGTTAAGACACAGAGGAGAGACTTGGAGACAGACGCTGCTCCATCTTAAAATGACAGAGAGGCTGACATGATGACATGTTCAGAAGGGTATGTTAACCTATTAATGATATTTGCAAGCATGTAATTTAAATCTTATAAACTCTGCTATAATGGATTTTATATTTTTATATAATAAATATCCAAAAAGACAATCTTGCTTCCAAGACAATCCTTATTTTATATTGTATTCTCAATTATTTATATATGTTAAATAGAGGATCTCTAACACTATATAAAATTATGGCTAAGATATCTGTATGGTTAGCCCTACTAAGTTCTATGCTTTAAGACATTATAGTGGTAAATAAGGGAACCACACACGGTTACACTCCCTTTTTTCAAAGTTTGATCGAAACAAAAAATTCTATCTCGAAGAAGAATTGAATTTCCATGCTAATACACCTATGTCTATATAAATGCATCTTTGACAGAGCACAGGGAAATACATTTATTTTAAGGAAAAGTGTTCTGAGACCCTTTGAGTTACTGCAATTAACGTACCACTGAGAAGAGAGATTCTGTCCTGTTTCCAAAGAACTTCTCAGATCTCTAATCTCTTAAGTAAGCAGAACTGTGCGTTGCTTCTCTATTTCAAGCTAAGGATCGAATTTACTGAAAAAGGGCTCCTAATAGCTAATTGGAAGCAGCCCTCCTAGAGCTGGCACTGTGAAGTGTGTGGGTTGCTGCCACATTTCTAAATTTCAAACATAATTGCAGGAAAGGCTTAGAATCTTGTTTGAATTTGCTAATTTCTCTACCTACTGCACCAGTGTCTACAGTGCTTAACGTTGTCCACCCCTAGCCTACGCAGCACGAATATTACTAATGCCAGAGGTTAATTGGGTCTACTGGTTCTGCTCTCCTTGGTACACTACACACTGTTAATTCGTAATTGGAAAAATAATTGTAAGAATAAACAATTTTTTGGCAAAAAACTAATTTGCCAAAATTTAATGCTACATCTTATTTTGTTTATTAGAACCTTAACAACACAAAACAGAGAGTGAAAATAATGGCACTATTGTGATAAATAGTGAATAAAATAAGCTTAATAAAACAGCACTTCCCCAACAGAGCATAGCGCTGTATATGTTTAACGAGTGGTCAGCCAGTGTGCTAAAATAGGTAATATACCTATCCTCACTGATACATAGTCCCCTTCCAGACCCCTATGCTCTGCCTATGATCTTAGTCTAGTTTCTGTTCGTACTCACACCATGATGCCCATTCTCCTTTGGAACTCCATTAGACTCTAACCCGGTCTCAGTTTCTTCAATATATAATTAAAAACTCACTTCTTTAGGAAAGCATCTCAATTAAACTGTTAATAGCTTTCCTTCCCTGTATCTTGCTAACCCACCCTGCTTCCTCTCCTGCAACTGTGTAATCCAATAAACTAAGCCTTCACTGTAAACTATTCTAATAATCTACTTAATCTATAATTACTTGAAAGACATCCTTCCCGTACCTCCTGTGCCACTCTACCCCACTCCCTCTAGAATGTAAGCTTGTTTGAGCAGGGCCTTCAACACCCTCTGTTCCTATGTGTCCTGCTTGTCTTGTTGCAAATACATGTCTGTTAGTCCACCTATTGTACAGCGCTACCGAATTTGTTGGCTCTTTATAAATAATAGTAACAACATTTTTTGGCTATATTTGCACAGTTATGAAACCTCTCTTTTTGTGCAGTAAACTACATCCAGTGCTAAAAAAAGTATTTTTTTGTTATTGTAGATTTTTTTTTTGTACGTTATTAGCTATTAGTCTCCCTCTGTCTTTGATTAACTGTTTATTGAATATATAGAGATATAATTTGCTACTGCCAGGAGAAATAAACACACTGATGCATCTTTGCGAAACATCCCTTCGTTTATTTGCACACTACAGACAAATACACCGCTCACGTATGCCCTGGCACTTTGCATTTCCACGAAAAAATGTTATATTTACTAAAGTGAGAATTGTGGGAAATTCTCCAGCTCAGCCCTTTTTCTATCTTGGTCTATAATATGAATTTGTCATTTCTCCAATATTCCTCCTCCTTTAGCGAATAAACAACTGGTTTATGTTTGTACATGCACATATAGAGCATCAAAGAGTTCCAGGACCTGAGTTAGCCCAATACCTAGATAGCCTACAGCCCGTCCCAAGAATTTCCACTTTTTGGCACAATGTATATTCATTAAAAATAAATATATAACAGTCATAACATGATCATTGATTACTGTAATGTTTGCTCCAACAACAAAATCTATTCCACTTGTTCCCTTTCTTCCTTCTTACAAATGAAAACATCCTTAATTGTATTAGAGTGAAACAATTACCGATAATCAATAATCAGAGTATTAAAACATCTCTGTGTTCTGTGTTTGTATAGGCACAACAATTTACGAGATATATCTAATCACCTATGAATCAATGTGATGTATAGATCACGTGTAGCAAATTTCAGATTCTGTAATATGCAGGAAGACCCCTCTTTGGTATAAATTGATGGAAAGAATGTGTTCGGTTCACTGGTCTTGACATTATCACTGATGAACTTGCTAGATCAATCCTTTTGTCATCTTTTTGACATTTATGTAATTGAAGCACTCTTATAGGCTTGGTTTGGCAATTAAGAGTTTAATTTTCTATTTTAGCTGCCATGATTGCCTTTTTTTTTTTGCAAGATGTGTTGAATTTCTTGTATTATTGGAATTAATCCCAATTCCCCTACATCTGAAATAAATTCTCACTTACCCCATTATAACTCTTCCATGAACAGTACGTTCAGTTATATTGGTCTGAATCTACTCCTATTGCATTTATTCCCATATTTAGCATTTTCATCTATGCTATAGATGAAAACCACTTTCTTGCTGAATCCCATGTACTCTTGTGCCCATATACTCTTGTGTGTGAAATCCAATGAATTGGCTACAAGTGCCATTTTATCCTGAAATATATTCGATATTGTGTTTTTACCTTATTACTTTATTTCCATTTCCCTTCTTTGCTTTATTTCTTATTTTTATTACTTTATTTCTATTTCTTATTCCTGATAATACATTTCATAACATTTTTTGGAATATAGCTTATTTCGCTATGAAAGGAGACAAAGAGAGACATCGCAAGAACATTTTTTTTAAACTTTAAAAATAAAATCTGTTTGTTATGAAAAATCGTATTATTTTATTATCATTAAATGATCACTCCATCAAACTTGTATTTGTAATGTTGGATTGTTTAAATGTAATATTGACTAATCCACACATAGTGCCTTAAAATAGATAATTTACCGGTAATACAGTGGCAAGGGGGTCTCCTGTGTTGCACTGCATCAGTATTAAAGGGACAATATAGTCACCAAAACAACTTTTGCTTAATGAAGCAGTTTTGGTGTATAGATCATCCCACTGCAGTCTCACTGCTCAATTCACTGCCATTTAGTAGTTAAATCAATTTTGTTTCTGTTTATGCAACTCTAGCCACACCTCTCTTGGCTGTGACTCACAAAGCCTGCGTGAAAACAAAATGGTTTTATGTTCAATCAGATGTAAGTTTACATCTCCTGCTCTGCACATTAAACTTTCATTACCTACAGGAGACTACTGCTGAGTCTAGCAAGCTATTAACAGAGCAGGTGATAAGAAATTCTCAATTAAACAGAATTTGCATAAAAAGAGGTGTAAACATTAGATGACTCTGTACAGGAAGTGCTTAAGAAGGCTGTGTAAGTTACATGCACGGAGGTATGCCCAGAGCTGCATAAACAAAGTGATTTAACTCCTAAATGGCAGAGAATTGAGCAGTGAGACTGCAGGGGCATGTTCTATACAGGGGCGGACTGACCGGTCAGGCACTTCGGACATGGTCCGAGGGCCCGGCCGGGAGGGGGGTCCGCCGCCAGGGCCGCCATCAGAGGGCCCGGCGACAGGGCTGAATTGGGGGCGGCAGCTGGGGACTGCGGAACAAGGTGCCACCGGATGGCCGGTCCGGTGGCACACTGAGGGGGCCGGCCGCGTTTCGCGCTGGAGCTGCCGGGCCGGGTGGCAGCCTCACCGGTCCGGCGGCAATCCTGTCCTGTCACTAACGCTGAGGATGGAAGGAGGGAGGAGCATGTCTCTCTCTCATGCTCCTTTGCGGTTCCCACAATTCCCAGCACAGGATGTTCCTCCCTCCTTCCATCCTCAGCGTTAGTGACAGGACAGGAGGGTAAGGAAAGACAGGGGGAGAGAGAGTGACCCAGAGAGAGGGGGGAGAGAGAGTGACACAGAGAGAGGAGGGTAAGGAAAGAGACAGGGGGAGAGAGTGTGATACAGAGAGGAGGGAGAAAGAGACAGAGGGGGACAGAGAGTGACACAGAGAGAGGAGGGAGAAAGAGAGAGAGAGTGACACAGAGAGAGGAGGGTAAGGAAAGAGACAAGGGGAGAGAGAGTGACACAGAGAGAGGAGGGTAAGGAAAGAGACGGGGGAGAGAGTGTGACACAGAGAGAGGAGGGAGAAAGAGACAAAGGGGGAGAGAGAGTGACACAGAGAGAGGAGGGAGAAAGAGACAGCGGGGGAGAGAGAGTGACACAGAGAGAGGAGGGAGAAAGAGAC